TAAAACACATTATTTTCCACATACTGTACATTATTGTTTCTCCTCTATGCCCTGCCTTTCCGATTTTTACCAAGCTCATCGGTCTGAAAAGCGAGGTGTGCTCTGATTGGCCAGCTATCTAGTGCGTTGTGATTGGCTGAATACCTCAAGCGTGTGACGGAAATGTTACGCCCCTTGCCTTATTGTGATGCCTTGTCCCAGCCGGCACGACGAGACAAAAACATTAAAACCCATTATAAACTAGGCAATTGTTGCGTCCAGTGGGGACATAATTACGGATTATAATGACTTATACTGTCTTTTTATGCGTTGCATTGCCTCGCGCCACGTAAACATAAAACCATGTCTGCATTTGTGATCGGAGAAATGACAAACAACAAGTGCTACTCTACACTGCTCAAAACTCGCGTTTGAATCGTCAGTGGCAAATTCTTTAAATATAAAAAACTTACTTAGAGTCTGTGAGTCAGAACAGCTGGCATTGGATATCGTCCTCTTTTGGAAGACCAAACAAAGTAGTTTCACTTTCACAACGAAACACACAGCGCCTTCACGACATGGCGGCGGTGGCAACAACAATACTACAGTGAGAATAAAAGTTATGCCTTCTTTCTTTGCGTGAACATTTGGGCGGCAATTTTGGGTTATGCAAATCTTCCCACATAGTGAGGTAGATATGTGGGGGCGTGTTAGAACGAGACGTTTTAGGTAGGGGTGGTTGACTCTGAACTTTTATAAAGAATAACTCTTTGGATTTGAGACTTTAGTCTTTGCAACTTTACAGATCTTCCTTATGCACCAAGATCTTGTAACACTCCAAAGAGAAAGGAAAAATTGAAATCGCATCATATGACCCCTTTAATAAGCCTGTTTAGAAATTTGAACAAAATCTTAAGCTCCTGTGCAGAGACACGTTTATGGACTAATTCTAGACTAAATTAGTCTTTAGTGACTAATTACTTTTCATAGTACTTTATTTTTCATACTGGTCTTTGTTCAGGAAACCATGTTTTAAGTCATTTTTAAATATTCTTATTCCTCATTTAGGCATCATTGGCAAACAAAAATACCACTACCATTTAGATATAGGAATGTTTAGATAACTTGTTTGTCATTGTTTTTGCATTGGTTTCACACAGAAATGACACAATTCATCAATTTTTTAAATCACAACTTTTCCATTATTCTCATATAGATTCTCTCTGTTCACTGCAAATCTCAGTTGATTTTGATCTGATATAAACAATTAGACCTGATGTAAAGTCTGTCATAAAGTGAGGACGACCAAACAACATGGTGTCTAAAAAGGTATAACATATTTTATGTACCAAACACAAAATCACATACAGCACAGTACAACAAATGAAACAAGGCATTAAAACAACATCTTTGGCACTTGACAAATAGATGATAGTCAAACAAAAAGTGTAAACAAGACAGAGGCATGATATTAAAACAAATAAGTACAAAAAAATTACAAGGTGATAAAAAGTCAAGGTTTTGGCAATGTGATAGTCTATCCAAAACTTTCTCAGTCTGCATGTTTTCATGCAAAACCACGTCATCTCTGCTGTGCCGGCTGTATTTGAACGCCGGTTTGCGAGGCCTTATCCAGGGCCCTAGCACCATGCTCTTCCATCCCTTATGAGACAGCTCATTATAGTACCAGTCGCCAAGGGTCCTTATTTAGTGCAAATAGGCTGGCTGAAGTCTTTAAGAAATTAATCCTGCAAGCGTCATTTTCGGAAAGTGGATGGAACTATGATTGGTTTGGGTCCAGAAACAGGTCTGAAAGAAAAAACATTGGTTAGATATACACTAGAACTTTAAGTTGTCTGTTGTACTGTCAATCTCACTGATTTACACTGCAAATATCAGAAATTCATCTTACTTTTTGGTCATATAAAATAACAACCTTGAGTTCCACTTTGAGTGTGTGAGCTCCATATTCTCCCTATATTCATATTATATGAGCCTTTAAAGCCTGAATATAAAAATATAAACACTTTTTTTAAAGCTTTAATTTATATTTTGTCTAAAGCTTCAATAAACTATTCCATTAAAAAAATATGGCTTGCAGGGTTAAAATTGTTGTCAAGGCAGGAATGGAAGTGTGTGCTAATCTCAGTTTACCTCATATTTCTCACAAGATCCTTCAGTTTAAAGACTTTACACTGTTAAATTAATGCTTTTCCAAGGTTGACAATCATTTCAAGCAAACCACTTACGCCTTTCTTTTTGTGTGAAAACCATGATGTAAACATGATACCCTGCCGAGTCTGTCAAAATGAAATGCAGTTTTCAGCATATACAGTCGAATCCTCAGAGTCTCACTGTTATGTGTTAAAAATGAATTCGTATTTTTATCACAACATAGTACTAAGCTGCCGCCGCCACTGGGAAGCTACGAACAGATTTATCTTCACAAGCTGAAACTCAGTGAGATTCGGTTGTTCTTAGATTGGAGCATGTAGTGCTGGAGACAAGCAGAAATGAGGCCTGGATATCGGTGCAGTTATTTCTGAAAATAAGTGCTAGACGGCTGCTTTTGAGAACTGATAGCGGACTAGCATTGAAGCTAGCTATTGTGAAGACTTGAGGAGAGAAAAGAAGATTTAAACGTGCAAAATTCACTTCTTACAAGATTCTATTGAGGCATGTGTATTTCCCCATAAAACCTATTACTGTATATAAATGAGTAAAACCCTGTCCAAACGTTTGATGTGTTGTAAAAATTCAGTGCTATATTTACTGCACTCAAGAATAGGTAAAGAGTTGAAAAGAACCCCATAAAATATCCAAACCGCACGCCTCACCACCCACTGTTCAGCAGGCTTATTTGTATCTAACATTGACTCTGATCCATTTGCTCTGGCAAAGAAAAACAAAGTATTGAATAATTAGAGCAGACGGACTCTCACTCATTAGGACTGCCTTTCTTATTGGAGAGTAACTGTTCAGTCAACTGTTACAATTAGTATGCTAATTAGCTAATGGCGTCACAATTTACATATTTTGGTGAGAATAAGTCACAAATGGTGAGTGGAAAAGACAGACAAAACAAGACAGATAAGGCTGTTAAATGAATGCTTTTCCAATACCATAATTTCAAACAAACCACTTGCGCCTTTCTTTTTGTGTGAAAAACCATGATATAAACATGATACCCTGTCAAAATGAAATGCAGTTTTCAGCATATACAGTCGAATCCTCAGAGTCTCACTGAACTTCTAAATACTCCTTCTAGAGGATTTGTGTGATTGTCACCAAATTTGGTCAACACGATGCCAAGACAATAGGGATGTTTACATGCTCTAATTTTATTAATCCAAATTAATGTAATCCAATTTTAGATTCTGAAACTCTGTTTACATGAACCCTAAACTTGGCAATCTGATTCACATTTCCGTTCACATGTGCATTTTATATTCTAACAAAAGTTCAGTGCATATGCAGTGACCCTGTCAACAGTCACAGCATTATTGGAGCTACAGTACCATCAGTATGTATACATGTATGTATGTATATATTTTTTTAAGCAAGTAAATATTCAGTCTCCTCCTCAGACCAGTTTGTAAGATGTAAATAAACATATGTAAAAAGGGGTCCGGTAAACATATGCAGCCTGACAATATTTTTGAATCTGCTTAGTTTTTTCTTATTGATCAGAATATGCCAGATCTACACCACACAATTTCATTCGGATTGAGCTCAATCGGATTGACTGATTATCTGATTTAGATCAAATTGGTGTATATTTGGTTATACGGACCCATCACATGGATGTTCATGGATTGTTCACGGTCACAGCGCCACCAGCTGGCAGCAGGATGTGTGACACATGCAAAAGACTTCAAAGTAGTCCTCTTTAAATGCATGTTGCCACTGTGAATTGTTTTTTTTAAAGCCACCAGTGGCCCATCATCGCTGTCTGCAGTTGTATTTTACTTTAAAGCTCATCTGTGGAACTTTTGATGTGTTTACTCACCGGAATGCCTTTAAAGGGGGAACAGCAGTCACCTTTCCCACAGGCTTGGGTCCGACTGAAGGGGGCATCATCACCATGAGCCCCCCACCAGAGGGTTTGGGCTGTGCTCCACGAGCAGGGCTGAGAGGAAGAGGCCTCTGGGGGGGTGTGAACGGGGGTCGAGGCTGTTGTTCTGATACCTTCTGTATGAGGATAGGAAAAAGAAGTGAATAAGTATTTGAGGTGTGCTTTCTTCAGGATTTCTGACGCGTGATTAAAACAGGTGTTTCAAGCAACATTTCATTTGATGAGATTGTGACCTATTTTGGCTCCCACAGTGATTTTGATTAAACCTAATGTACACTGAATTCTCACCAGTGGTGAGCGTGAAGGGTTGAGGGGTAGAGGCTTCTTGGGAGGACTGAGTTTCTGGGGTGATGCTACAGATTTGGGTGGCTTGCTGATAGGCGGAGGAGGTCGAGGTCCTTTGATGTTGCTCAGGGATGGCGACGGAGCCGGCCGGAGAGGACGGACAATATTAACTGGCTGAGTACTGTTGGAGGCTGGGTTTGGCCTCAGAGGAAGCACCTCCTTGCTGGTGTGAGGAAGCTTAAGAGGAAAAAAAGCAAAGTGATGATGAGATATTGGTGATGCTACTACATGATTTGAAAATCACATAATACATACTAAACAAACCCCATCATAAATCTCTAAATGAAAAAAAAGCACTTCAAAGGACTAATGTCTTGACAGAGGTGAATGGGGTCATAAAACTGATGAATGCAAGTGAAAAATTCATTTGTAGCAAATCTTGCATCTTAATTAGTCTGTTATCTGTTTTGGGCCACTAAAATATGTCTGCCAGCAGGTGGCGCTTAAAGCGTTTCCTTGGTTTCCGCTGTAAACAAAGCAGAGCTGCACTTATGAACTTTAGTATGAGTTATACAGAGGCAAGAGGAAAAGAATAAATACCATCGAAAGACAGTAAGTTCCACTCAGACATATATTCATATAAACTCCTACCCCTAATTGAATCGCGATTTGTTTAGCATCTCAAGTCACATATTTGAATCGATTTTCAACCGGCTTGCGGTTAATCGTTACATCCCTAATTCTTATTAAAGATTATATATAAAAAGTATTCTCTCCTCTGTGACTAAAGTGTCCATACCTTAAGATTAACACTTCTGTTGGAGGGTCCCACAACCTTCAGATGGAAAGCAGGGTTTAGGTGTCCATTCTTCCCCTTTTCAACGGAGCCCTCATTTCTGAAAACGTATGAAAACACATCATAAATAATTTAGTGAATAGACTAGAAGTGAAATTGACTACAGACTTTCAGCATGTACAATTATAATACCATCATTTTCTCAGCATGTTATTCAAAAGTGGCCTGGATAATGAAAATTTTTGGAGCATACGTGTATGTTCATAGAGTGACATCAGAAAGCATTCAGACCCCTTGTGTATTCATAGCTCAGGATAGACTGAATTATTTATTGTATTTGACATAATATACCAAAAGGACAAAGTGAACTTTTATTATGTATGTTTGAAAAAAAATCTGAAATGTATTATTTGCATTAGTATTCAGACCCTGTGTAGCTGTGCATGCTGTGTGGCAGTGAAGACAGCAGGAGGTCTTCTTGGGTGTGATTTGCACACCTGGATTCTTTTTTCCCGTTCGCCCTTCAAACTTTGAGTAGTTTGCCCACAGTATTTCTATGTGGTCATTTTAGATGGAACACTCAAGGACATTATTTGTCCCAAAGCCAATCCAGCATCATCTTGGCTTTGTGCTCCAGGTCATTCTGACACTGAATGAAGAATCTTTTCTCTTGACAGAGGTTGTTTGCTGATTTTCCTCAAGCATCACTCTATATTTGGCTCTATTCAACCTCCGTCATGTTGCTTGCCAATCCTAAAGCCTGTTGCTGAGAATAACCCCTCTGCTTTTTTTGGCTTTTATACTACACAGATTTTTCCTAACTGACACTGATGCGAAACAGATTTAAGCATGTCCATTTGAAGCTGCAGGAGATATTCTTGGATTTAAAGCCTTACATGAATTGCCACTGTATAAACAAAAAAACATAGCCACTTCTTAAAATATCTTACACAGAAGAAATAAAGAAAATCATGCATGTTTGGAATGACACAAGGGTTAGAAAATGATGACAGTATTTTCATTTTTGGGTGAATCATCGCTTGAAGTGCAAGAGTTGGTACAGTGTAAGTTGAAACCTTGCTCAATGGACAACTTAACAAAAAATAAATAAAAAAAATCTAAATCACATTTGTTAGTATTAGTGAGTAGATGTATATCAGTAATTATTAGGTTGCATTAAATTTTGTGATTTTTCTGAAACTGAGAGAGTTCAGATGTGAGACTGTGTGTGTGGGGAACTGCTCCATGCCAAACACGACCTGGTCTGCCACTGACTAGAAGAAAGGATAATACCATACCTAATCTGACTAACTTTGAATGTTTTTAATGACTGGTAAGGGGAGGATTCAAAGTGAAGTAACCTCAGTTATCTCTCTGCAGCTGCTGTTTTCAGCAAATGTGAAGAGAGATCACATAATTAGATTTCAACGGATCCTGACTGCTGAACTAATCACATATGTTTAGAGGGCCTGAGATGAAAGACAGGGGGCTCTGGCTTGCACTCTGTAGAACAGCTACATTTCATTTCTCATAAAAGTCCTTTTAAAGCAGATAAAACAATAGTTTGAAAGCAATTTGGCAAAGCAAAATGTGTCCTTGATATAGATTGATTAGATTTGAAACATAGACTGATAGCGTTTGAAATAAACAAAAAATAAATAAATAAATAAATAAAACAACTCAGCTATAGATAAGGGCAGGAGGATCACTGAGTTAATATTATCTAAGGGGCCAAATAATATCCATAATTGTGTAAATGAACAGAAGGGGTTCTTGTCTTTAAAGGGGTCATATGATGCGATTTCAAGTTTTCCTTTCTCTTTGGAGTGTTACAAGCTCTTGGTGCATAAAGAAGATCTGTAAAGTTGCAAAGACTAAAGTCTCAAATCCAAAGAGATATTCTTTATAAAAGTTATGAGTCAACCACGCCAACCTAAAACGGCTCGTTCTAACACGCCCCCACATATCTACGTCACTATGTGGAAATATTAGCATAATGCCGGCCAAATGTGCACGCAAAGAAAGAAGGCGTGGTTTCAGGAACAGCAGTAGTGTTGATGTAGCCATGTCAGGGAGAGCTGTGTGATTCAGTTCAAAAGCACTTTATTTGACCTTCCGGAAGTAGATGCAATTAGGAATCATTGGTTAAGATTTATTTACAACAGAACAGCACAACCCAGATGTTCGAATTTGTACAATGCATTTTATGGACGACAGTTTTTTTAACCTAGAAGAGTACAAGGCTGGCTGTGCACAAAAACTATTTCCCCCCCAAAAAAAGGGTAAATTCCGACTTTGCTATGACAATCTGG